TTACATGTTTGAGGCAGAACGAAGCAGCATTCAGTCTGTGTTTCTCAACAGAGAGGAGGGCAAGGGGTGAAGAAAGTAATTTTCATATAACCTTTTGTGTCAGCGCTGCTTTCTTAATATTACTTTGTTATCTTGTGTGTTTAGATATAACAGATATAATTCAAAAGATTTTTAGTGATCTGTTGTTCGGCACAAAATATAATCACTATATAATGTGTTCCGTTTCTGGAATACTGGCCTCTGTTATGGACTTTTTAGACTAGACTGTTTTAGCCACCCAGACTCCAGTTTGTGACATGACATTCCAGGCTTGTCTCATCGTGAACCCAGTTTTCAGTCTGCTCCTTGGAGACGAGGTGACAGAACAGAAAATAAGCAACGCTGTCATCTGGGATTGCAAGTCAGCGTCAGGGAGGAAGGGAATTCAAGATGTCCCTAAACATGCAGCAGAACAGTGTGTGTGTAATGGCTTCTGACCACTTCACAGATATAAATTCCACCTCCCCACTGCGTATTCCCAATGCTGATTTATACATGCTATAAAAGATATGCTGACACTACAGTTATTTTCTCCCTGATTTCATCAACTTAGTGAAAATGTAAATCCATCCCATGCTGGTGTTGACCACCATTCTTTTGCTCTCACATTTTGCCTGAACACTGCAGATACTTTATGGATGTGACACTGAGGGTTGATAATAGTGTAATTGGATTTCTTCACAGCATGCCTTCCGCACATATCAGAGCTGATTGATGTCACACTATAGATTCAAGTCAGAGTGGTGAGATTTTCACTGATATTTTCTGAAATATTAATGGAATGGGTGAAAATATGTGAAAACAATACAATGGCTTACAATGATAGAGAGTGAAGATGGATGGATGGATTGATTGATTGATGGATTGATTGATTGATTGATTGATTGATTTCCCGTATATCTAAATATGTTTGGTGAGAGGTAAAACTCTGAAATCTCCGTGTAAACAATGCGTGATGTGGACGCGCGAGAGATCACTTCCGGTGTAACGTCTGGAGACGGTTCAGTTCGGTTCAGTTGGACATATGATTCAGATCAGTTCGACGGCTGTTAACGAGAGGTAAAAACTATATAAATACTGTTAGTTTTCTCACACAAACCGCTCGTTTCGTGTCTTAGGCCATCATTCACAAGTCATTAAATCATGTTTAATTTTGACTTCTCTGTGCATGCTCTTTGAGGTGGACCCCAAAACTGCATTGACAGACAACAACGGTTTGACCAAAAAATGTCAAAATTGAAAATGCTGTGGAAATAAAGACACCTACATCTTGGATGCCCTTGAGGTAAGCTAAAAGATTTTAAAAATTAGATTTTTGATTAGATTACAAAGTGAACTATTCTTTATACAAAAATATTGTTGGTTTAACTTAAAAAAATAAGTAAGTTAACCTGGTTGCCTTAAAATTTTAAGTTCATTGAAATGGAAACAATTAGTTAATACAATGAAGGAGATTAATTTAATCACCAGAAACTCAAAATATGATGTTATCTGAACTACATAAATTATCTAAGTTGATTCGACAAAAGAAAAAAATGTTGTGATTACAAATCATGAAAATATTTTTTACAGTGGTGTGTATGATCAAGATATCCATACAACCCTATAGTTAAGGGAATTAACTTTTTAATTTAACATTTTACAGAACTTGCATTACTAGAATTACTTGAGGCTATTTCTGTGTCCATGTAAGAGTATTAAAGGCAGAGGTAGAATTCCCCAAAAATACTTTTTTTTTCCAAATTTGTATAAACTGTCTTTATATATCAATGCATGATTAAAATGTAAGTAATCTGGGAAAGAAATTATAAAAATCGAGTATCTGTAGTCCTCTGTAAATTATACAATGACTTGTTCTTTTTCACTTCCAAAAATTGTAAATTTAATGGTATTTTATAGTAAAATTACATTAAATGTACCATTATATCACAGTTATTTACCGTAAGGAAACTTTTACCGTTAAAATCACGATCATTTTTTACAGTTCTGCAGTTGAATTTAGCTCTTTCTAATTTGCAGTCATATTGAACAATACAAGTATTGAGTCGGAAGGTCCACTACAAGGTCCAGAGATGTCTTTGAGTAGAAACCAGGCCAGTGCAATGAATCCATCTCCTCTTTCAAGCTGCCAAATATTAATTCTGTTGCTCTCATCCACTTGGAGATTTTACTGGTTTTGTTTATCAGACTTGTTTGTGCAATGCATTTGACACATTATTTGTCACAGCAGGTTGGCTTGATGTAGCACTGACCTTATGTGACTGTGAAGCCCATCTAATATTCTTAACACTTTCAAATGCTCATTACTGCTCTTTAATAAGTATACAGACATTATTATTTCTCTAAATAACTGTCATCAAAGCAAAGTGCATGGGTTATAACAAGTGAATTTTCGAGAATTTCCAAGACTTACAACGCCCTGAGAGTGATGCATTCTATGTTTGTTCATCAAACAATCAAACTGCTTTTATAGTCAAGCACATGTTTTTTTTTTTAACTTGGTGCTACCTCTAATCATATTTTCTACAAGAGAGTGCAGTTAGGGGAGGGCTTGAGTTTTAATGGACTCTAATGTGTTTGTTTGACCCTGGGGAAACCATCATGGCGTACAGTACATGCAGGTGATTCAGTCCTATTTGCAGGTAAGTTCTGTATTAAGTTTCTGCTATAAGCAGTTAACGTTAAATGATTAGCTACAACAATATTGTGTTGATTCCATAATGTTTTTGGATGGTAAAAATAATTGTTAATTTCCGGTAAATAATACTGACAAAAAAACAATCAAAGATTTACTTGATTGTATTTATGTTCAAAATTTAAAACACAATTGTGTCTTATAATATATTTTTTCATTTTTTTCACCATAAAAATGATTTTGTTTGCCATATTTCCACCTTAATATGACTGAATTGTTTGACCTTTTGCTGGTTTTGTTTACAAATAAGCATTGTGGATTCTGTCAAATTTAGCAATGTTTCAAAAGTTTTTTCCTCTAATGATTTGATTATTACTCTTATTGTGGTTGAAGTATGTTGCGGTCTACATAAGGGATTTTTATTCATTTATATGGTCGTATTAGTGTTGGTTGGATGTTGTAGGCTAAGTAGTGTAAGACAAGCACTTGGCTCTTCAATACTTTCCTCATTGATGAATAGCATAGGCTATTGAAAGTTTTGCATCTGTAAATTTGTTAAAACAATAGGCTACATATAGCTTTATGTACTTAACATAACCAAACCAATCTGCTACTAAAACATGCTTGTTATGATAAAGTCGAGTTGGCCTGCAGGAGATATATACGGAACAACAGTGTTTGAGCGCTCTGCGTAGTAGGGGAGAGCGGGGCACAACCTAACGCTTTTTGACTTTCTCAGTTTGTGTATACTTAAGGTTCATTGTATTTATTTTATCCCACATTCATTTCCCACATTTACAATTGTTTTTTTTTATTAATACAGTGTATACATTTTTCTTGATATACCCTAAAGAATGGAAGTGAAAGGTGACAACATGCCCCAGGTGGGGTACATTGTAACATATGACATTAATAATGGTAACACTTTATTTTGATAGTCCACTTCTAACTTTGCAACTACATGTCAGCTAACTGTCATTGCAGTATTAGTAGACTGCATGCTCAATATCTGCTAACACTTTATTTTCATGGTTCTCCAACAGAAATTCTACTGACAAGTAACTTGGCAACTACAAGTCAACTTATTCTACTAACCCGAAACCCATAACAACCATAACCTAACAGTCTACAGTCTACTCTAACAAGAGTTAGTTGACTGACATGTAGTTGAAAAAGTTAGTAGAATGTCTAAAGTGGACTAAAGAAATTATTAGGAACCTTAATAATTTCTGAACATTGACTCTCAGTCTTTATTCACCCTTTTCTCATGTTTTCTCAATAGAATTCATAAAATCATAGAATAGAATAGTATAGTTCTAATAGGGGCACATACGTAGTGTGACAACATGCAACCCCTGCACAACTGGGATTTAATGTCTTCTGCAGATCAGCAATAAAAAACTCTCAACTGTTAAATAACATATTGGAGATTAAAATAATATCAGATTTGTATAATTTATAATAAACACCAAAATAGATATTAACAAGTAGCAAGTAAGGAATTTTGGCTACTTTTGCTGGTTAAATAAATGTTCAGTGATATTTTCCAAAGATTTCCTGAATTTTGGCGCATTTTTTTTTTTTCTCTAAGTGTTGATATGGCAAGTGTAGCCTACACTAAGTTTCGTCATGCTGGCATGTGTGCAAGTATTCAAAACACCCTCACGGGCAATTTATGTTGTTTTGGAAACATATTTTATTTGGTATTTGGGAGAACAGTAGAATTAAGCACAATCAGAATTATTTAATTAATTTCATTCTTATGGCACGATTTTATGTTCATAAATGCAAATTCTCCTGTAAAAACTAATTTTATTTTATTTAGGAAAGAAATTGAGCTTTATATTGATTCACTCCGATTTTTATGAAGCAAAAAGCAATTAAAACATTGAAAAGATTTGCAAATGTTATAATATCTTTATCTTCATATACCCCCCCCCCCTTGTAATATCTATGCTGTATACATAAATGTCTTTACTAAGATTGTTTTTAATAAAAAATAAATAAAAATAAAAAACACCCTCACGGGCACAGCAGCGTTAACTAGTTTTTTTGCATGTGTGCATGATGTTATTAGGCTACGCGTCATCACAGTCTAAGGTATAGCCTACGCGAGTCGAACTTCAAATTTTGGTTAAAAACGTGTCCATGTATTTAAAACAAATATCAATTTTACATTATGGAGCTATTTGTTTTATAGCATAACTGTGGCAGGCTACATATCCTGCTTTATAACAGTGACGTTAATTAACTGATATGGACCGATAAAGCAAACGATAAGAGATAAGAGCTTCATGATGTCAGGTTGTCTTTTGGTTTGTTTAGTCCCATCTCAAATGGCCAGCAGTAGCAGGCGGTCAGTGTTGAAAACGCAACGCACGTCACATTTCTCCACAACCTCCCGCGAGCTTCTCACTTTCAGTTTGCGCTTTGCAACTTCGAGGTTGTCTCTGCGTTTCCGCTGGTGTCATGTGAAGATAATGATGCTTTAATGTAACTAGTTCTCGATGTTTGTCCTGATCTTCATCTCGAGACGAGAGTTTTGGTGGGTTTATCGCTGCGCGTGCTGTTTGGAGATGCAGAAAACATCACCTATGTCACTGTCACTGAGTGATTGACCTACGGAAACACTCTCATGTAAGTGTCATCATTTAGATTTTTCTTGGGTTATGTAAGTCTTATGATAAATAGTTATGTTATATAGGCTATAATCTATTAAATCTTGTTTTCTTACTTAAAATAAGCGTTTCAATAGCCGCTACTGTACAACTTTACATCACAATTGTACTTTTGCCTTGTTGCCACGTCTTGATATTCTTCCAGATCTAAAATTATGTAATTTAGGTGTGTGCTTATGGACATTAAGCTGATATTGGATGGACATAATAAAAGTTATTGGGGTCACGAGGTGCCTTTTCCATTTTGTAAAGATTGTTTTCAAAATATGATGGGTATAGCTGACGTGAACGGTTGGCACCAATGTTGACCGTTTTACAATTCATTTAGTTATTAAAAGCCTGAGGTGAGCTTACGAAACTACAGGTTATTTACAGTAGGTCTATTAAAAACAGTAGTAAATGCTGATAATTCTACAGATTGCAAGGTTTTGGTAAGCAATTGCTTACTGTACAAAACCTTCACAACAATTACAGTAAAAGTAGAATGACTTACAGTATGTTGGCTACTTTGAACAGATAACACAGGAAACTGCGTTTCAAATGTTTTCCATGAGCCATAAACTTAACCTTTTCAATAAGAGGTCATTGTAAATGACAACATCCATCCTGTAGTTATAATAGATTATGTATTAATACCTTTAGTTAGATGCTCGAGTGTTCTTTCCACTGAATTCCTCTGTTGAATACGTGTGTGCAATGGCACACTCCATTTCTCACGATTTAACAAGCAATTTAACAAGCTATAAATAAAATGCCTTTGGCAGTGTTTACAGCAAGTCAGTTGTATTGTGTACAATGCAATATATTTTCATTCACATTTGAGATGGGAAAGGATCAGTTAGTCATTTCCCTTTTTGGCAGCAAATGATCAAAATAAATGAAAGTGACACCACAGCAGTTGCGTTTCATATCTCATTTCAGCTCGGTAGCTGTAGATGTAATACAATATGAATTCAATACAGTGGTTCTGCATTGAGAAGTGTGTATTCTCTTCTCCTCCTTGCTGTAATTTGTGTCTGACTTAGTTTCGCACAGCATCTTGTTCTCTCCAGCATGTGGCTGCATGGTCTTTTAGAGGCAAAGGGCATGTGGCACGTGAAAAGGTTTTCTGGAATGTCTTGGCTGAAATGGTGTCTCCCTCTCTGTTTTGTTATGAAACAAATACAACGTTTAATCAGTCCTTTTAAGCAAACAGTAATTGCCCTCTTGGGGATGCGAGATAAGAACTAACATTAAAAGCATGACTAGAAGAGAAGAGTAATCTTCCCGTGAACCAATGAGGTGTTTGCTCCAGTGCCACCCGCCTGAGCTAATAAGAGTGTTTGTGAGGGTAATGTCTGGTTTGAGCACCAGATTGTGTGAGGAAAGCTATAACCCAGTGGCATAGTGGCCCCGCAAGTGGCTGTTTTCAAACTTACTAATGAACTCATAACATTTAAGTGTATAATTAAATATGTGGAGTAATTTGTAGTTTGAAACATCTACAGTAGTGGCAGATTTTATTGCGCCAACAGTTCACAACCTGGTAGAGGTTAATGTCTCCTTCAACAATATACATAAGGCTTTATGTGGTCAGTCTTTTTTCCCCTCACCTACCATAAATGCAATGCAGTTTCATGGAAAAAGCTAACTCTGATGTAAAGTGCGCAGCGTGCTTAGCGTATCGGTGGGTTCTATTCAACGCTTTGATCTGTTTAGCAAACCTGACACTGACTTCAGCAGAAACATGCCACATGTCAAGCTATATCATATTACAGCATCAGACATAATGCTTATCTTGCATGCCTATCTCACTTCTCAAAACCAGAGGCTCAATCAGGATCATGATTAACACGGCTGAATTTTTGAATGGCTTGATCAGTAGAATCCTGTGCAAACATTCCCACCATGTCAAGTGGGTTATGTGAAAAGTGAAAACGCTAAGTCCACCCGGGACTCCGATGAAGCACATTTTTGTTTGTCTCTCTCCACATTAGACGGTGTAACTCAACACGTTCTGTATTGGCTGTAATCTTCAGCCCCTTGTGGTCCTCTGGACAAAAGTAGAAGCTTTTAGTGAAGCTATTGGTGCAGTCACTTCTAGCAGTATTGACGTGTGAGAATAAAATACGGAGGTTAGGTCACCATGGCTCAGAACAAAAGGGTTTATACCTTTCCTTTGGCACTTACAACTAGAGCTTTTATCTGACTTTTATCAATAGCGGAATTTTTTTTTTGAAAAATACAGCAGGTGATTGATAAGATAAGCTTGTGTAATGTAAGAATGTGTAATTCACAATTTTGAAATAAGGATACTGTTGTCTGCATGTTCTCGTGTAGTTCAGAGGGCTCAGAATATATTAGTAATAAGTTGAAGAAGTAGTTTAGTCCGTTTTTCCTCGAACATGCGCGTTCCAGTTAATTATTGTCAAGTTAATGTTCATTATCAGCAATGTTATCAACAAGGACTTTTGAAGGACCTATTAAAGGGGTGTACAATGGTTTTTCATGTATTCAGAGTTGTTTACAGTGTTAAAGAGAGGGATTCTCAGGCTAAACATGGCCAAAGTCACTGTAGGTGTCTGTTTGTTTATTGTAAAACCAAATCATGTCCTCATAAAGCACGAATAAACACACAAATCATTTTTACTTTTAAAAAACTTCCGCCTCAATCGGTATCAAACCACACTTCCCACATGTACACCTTTAAAGAAAAAAAAATATGACGACATAAAGTGAAAATTAGTGCTGCTCGTCTTAAATTTCAACCTATTTTATTGCGCAAACAGTTCACAGCGAAGGTACAGGTTAATGACTCTTTCAACAATATGCTTTAAGGCTTTATGTGGTCAGTTTTTCTCTTTTTTTCCTCTCACCTACCATAAATGCAATGCAGTTTCATGGAAAAAGCTAACTGATGTAAAGTGCGTGGCGTGCTAAGCATATCCAGCCCGTTCTCATCCTTTAGCGTCATATACAGGGGTTGGACAATGAAACTGAAACACTGGCCAATGTTGGAGGTTTCACATCTATATGCCTGGCGGCCAATCTTCAGAGTGAAGCACGGGTGGATCAGTGATGGTTTGAGCTCCAATATCATGACAATCCTGATTGTATTTGATGGACACGACACTACCGAGGACTACCAAACCCTTCTGGAGGATCATGAGCACCTGATGCTCAAACCGCTCAAACCGCATGATCATGCACCAACACACACAGCAAGACTTGTGACAGAAGGGTTTGATGAAGATGAAAGTGACGTTGAACATCTCCCATGGTCTGACAGTCACCAGATCTGAATATTATTGAGGTGTTTTGGAGGAGCGAGTCCACCAGCATCATATAGTGACCTGGACACTGTTCTGGAAGAGGAACCTCTGGTCACTGTGAAGGACTTCTATCTGTCAATTGGTGCTGTATTTGGATGCAAAATGAGGCCCTTACCATTCTAACAAATTATTGTGTTGTAAGACCAGGTGTTTCAGTTTCATTGTCCAACCCCTGTAGGTGACGCTATATGACAAAACGGCGAAATATACGCACATGGCACCCTTTATCGTTAATATAACACGCGAACCCTAGGCGTCATAAATCCTTTAGCGTGAATATGAGACTACTTTACCCTACCCCACACCTAAACCTACCCATCACAGCGCGTGTTATATTAACGATAACAGGTGCCATGTATTTCGCCGTTTTGTCATATAGCGCCACCTTAATGACGCTAAAGGATAAGAATGCGTTGGCATATCAGTGAGTTCTATTCATGTGGTTTGTTTTTTAGACGCTCTCAACGCAAAAGCTTTGCGCGCTTGTGATTATTTAGCTCCGCCCACACGGCACGCCTCCAAACGCTTGTTTTTTTCCGGAGAGACTCAGTACAAGGATGCAATACTACTCTATGTACTCAAGGTTAACATGAGATTGACTGAAACTGAGTGTTTCACTGCCTCCCCCCCCCCCCCAAGCTTTTATTATTAGACTTTTATTAGAAGGTAATGAATGAAGTACGTCTGTCACAGGGTAAGTCTCCACCTGCTACTGCTATCTGAACAATGTATTTTTTGGGAGGACTCAACATACAGGCTGTCTATTAATTAGCCTATACACTGTAAAACATGCAGGGTTGTTTTAACCCAAATTTGGGTCAAATATGGACAAACCCAAACTTTGGGTTAAAATGTGAAAAAAATTAACCCAATGCCTGGGTTTGTCCATATTTGACCCAAAGTTGGGGTGAAACAACCCAGCATTTTTTATAGTGTACAATACAACATTCTTAAAAAAAAATTATGGTTTTATGAAGAATTTTTAACATCCATTTTTTATATCGCACAAAAGGTCCTTTATGGTGGAAAAAGGTTATTTGCATTATTAAAATGTTCTTCACACTAAAGGCAAAGTCGCATTAGCAAAATTTATGTGAAATGTCCTGACATAAAAGGTCCTTTGTCAACCGTGTAGTGATGCAAGAAGCACAGTTCACATAGGGTCATTTTCATACAAAGCTTTCGTTTGGTCAACACCACAAATTTGCATGATCAACTTGAACGTGGAAAAAACTTGCCATCGCGTGAAAATAAATCATGCCGTTTCCTATTAAAATGACTGGATTTCGGCTCCAAAATTTTGCCAAGCAATGACCACGCCTTAAGAATTTTTTTTTATTTTTAATAGCCATACACTGAAAGGTTCTTTGATGAATCCAATACGGTTCTTTTATCTTCTCTTTATTTTGGAGAAAGTATGCACAAGCAGTCACAGACATTACCAGAAATGTACAAATTATCAGTAACGCTTCCTTTTACAGTCCAGTTACCCATGTACAGTAAATACTATGTACTTATTTTAGTAACTACAATTACTGGGTAATAACTAGTACTAACCCTGAACCTACTATGTACTTATTTTAGTAACTACAATTACTGGGTAATAACTAGTACTAACCCTGAACCTACTCCTAAATAGGGTTGGGTA